GTTTTCAAATGTCTGTGAGATGTATCCAGGAGTGAGCAGATGTTTAGGTTTGGCGGGAATTGAGCCTCTAGTATTTGTTTTCAACTAATCTTCTCTGGCAGATTAACGACATGGCATCTAGTATTCCTTGATGGTGAGGAGGATTGCTGTGATATGGGGTCTTTTTGGGGGAAGGGGGAACCAGAAGGATGAAAAGCACCGTTTTCAAATGTCTGTGAGATGTATCCAGGAGTGAGCAGATGTTTAGGTTTGGCGGGAATTGAGCCTCTAGTATTTGTTTTCAACTAATCTTCTCTGGCAGATTAACGACATGGCATCTAGTATTCCTTGATGGTGAGGAGGATTGCTGTGATATGGGGTCTTTTTGGGGGAAGGGGGAACCAGAAGGATGAAAAGCACCCATTGGCCCTCCAAATCCCACCACAGTATATTCAAATATTTTTAATTATGTTGACATCCTTCTTGCCAGGAGAAGAGAGCCTGTTCTAATAGTATGTAGGTATTGGGCGCAGTGGAATAGGCAGTCCTAGGGAATGTTGTGTAGTGACTGAAAAGGGGAACAGGGTTTCAAATTCAGGTTTCAGGTTGTGGCTTTGCCACTTACTTATTGTGTAACCTCGGTCAAGATGCACCTCTTATGCCTCAGTTTAGCACTATGTAAAAGTGGGATGATAGTTAATGATTTGTCAGGGGGATGATGAGGATTAATTTGCCGAGTATTTACATATACTTTGGTGAAGGAATCATTAAGTTTCTGGTTTTAATTTTCAGTTTTAATCAATAAACACCACTAAAGCACTCCCAAAAGAATTGGTGTTCATCCAGTAATTAACAGAAGAATCCCATAAATGGTTACTTGTATTTAAGGAGCTTGTCTACTGTAATGTGCGCTATGGGGTATATTTTTTAAAAAACACGCTAAAATATTGCACGTTAATTGGTCTACATAGAACCTGCTGGTGTATACTAATGGCTTCTTAGTGCATTTTAACATAGTGCTGATTGAAACAATACAACATTAAGCCACACTAGATAACACTATGGAGACATTACTCAATAGAGTATATGTTACAGCATATTCAAAGAGAAAGTCCCCCAAATCTCAATTTTTGAACATTTACATAAAGTTCAAAAATTGCTAAAAATACTCCCCTACTGAAATTAATAAATTCTGTAAAACAGAAGCAGTTAAATGTAGTTCATCTTTAGTCCAATTTTACTTTCCCTTACTTTCTACTTTGGAGAAGGCTGCTAATGCACAACTAAATATATTATTCAGAGAAAGGAATGTTTTATCCATTTTAGCTGTTTTCTGGGTTTAATTATTTATTGTTGAACTGTTAATTACTTTAAAAAAATAATATTTTAAAATAGTTATGTGTGCCTCCTTGTTGTTAAATATAACTAATGGCACGGTTACATAGCTCTCACCTATGACTAATCCTTTGCACTTTATCACATGTTTTCCCATTACAAATGAACTCCTGCGTAATTGCTATACAGTTTCATCTTGGTGAGATGATGATGGAAGGTGCATATGTGACCCAATAGACACAGTTTGAGAAGCATAATATGAAAGAGTTTACTTATATGTTTTTGGCAGATCATGCTGCAAAAGAGCCAATAGAAGATACAGATCCAAGTACTTTTTCCTTAGAAATGGTAGGTGCATCTAGTTTGCTTCCAATATATCTTTAATATTTTGTTATTTATTATTTAGTTTATAGTTTTTATGGTTATTTAATTTTGGGATACTGTCAAAAACTCTAAATTATGATTGACTGAAACTGGCCACATACATGATTTTTTAGGAAATTAGCACCATTGTACTTATTGAAATTTTATGGAGGGAGCATCTACCAATTGTAAATTTAAAAAAAACCAAAAAAACCTATCAAACATATCTTGAATAAATCAAAAAATAATCATGGGTGAAAACCATATTCACATTGTAATCTCTTTTGGATGGGACTTTTTCTCACAATGTCCTTATACAGTGCCTAGCACAATGGGGTCATGTTTGCTGTTGGGTATTCTAAGTAGTGTTATAATACTGTCATCATAGTACTGTGATCTCCCCGGAAATTGGTATGAGATTTTCATCCAGAAACTTAAATATTGTTTATATACAGCCTATGTGCTTCCTTTAAATTGTGGCTGATTGCTAGATAATGTGTTAGAAAAGCATGTGACAAAAACCAAGGCTGTAAGGTGAACTGAGTGAAGAGATATTTCTCTGACTAGCATTCAGTACATGCTTTTCTTTGTTGGTATGTCCTAATATATTCAGACAAGCAAATCTTATGTCGCCACATGGAATATATTGGGTCAATGGAATATTCAACTGTTCTGTAATCTTTAAGAGGACTTTTTGAGTTTGACTCTAGGTTGTTTACTCTGGGAAATAGTAAATAAAAAAGAGGCTGATTATAATATTAGATTATGCAGCCTAGAGTATATTCATGTAAATGTTGCAGCATGGGTGTTTTTAAATGAACATTAACTTATTTGTAAATGGCAGATTTGTCATGCAGCAACATGAATAATGAGAATTAAAAATATTCATTTCTCTGGGGTGTCCTCTTCCCATTCAGAAGCCTAGTACCGAAGTATCAGCAGAAAACAGAGAGGATATTTTGTGGCTTTTTTGGAAAAACAGTTCAATAATTTAGATCCTGATCCTGTAGTGCAATCCATTAGAGCTGACCCAGGAGTGCATGCTGAGTCTCACTGAAGTTAATGGGTTGCTGCAAAGGGCCATGCTAGTAGACCTTGATGAAGGAATGGCTATTCTGTGGCTTGTGATTGTTTAAATTAAAGAGTGTGATATTTAATTGGGGTACAGTTATTATGTCTGGTTGATACAAATGCAAATCAATTTTTAAATGAGGAGAAATTCTATAAAAAGCTGAGGGAAGCATTTTATAAAAAGTAGAGGGAAGCTACTAGAGGTACCATGGGGGCAAGAAGATGTCAGATCTATTAGTAAACTAGAGTCTTGAATCTGAATGTCTATGCTGTAAATCAGAAGATATATCCATAAATTGATCAGCTGTATTTTAGTTTGCATTTTAATCAGGTTTTAATTTTAATTTTCAAAAAGGGAACGTTGTTCTTTAGTAAGGAATACTTGTAATAAAGAATGCTTGTAATAACCAGCTTTATCCCAGATAAAACTCTTTTGAAATCAATATAGAGTTAAAGCTTTGTTAACCTGCACTCATGGGGAATGGGGGTTGCCAGTTAATTGAAAGAACCAGATGACAAAGCTTATTTGATCCATCTCCTGGCAGCAGGAGGCAGGCTGAGGGGGAAGGAGGCGCCTGCTGATGACATCCCAGATGGACAGGAGCCTGAAGACCTAGCAGTATTGTGGCTTTGGGCAATGCCAGTTAACAGAATTTCCCGGTTAACAGAGTGCTGGATAACAAAGATTTCACTGTAGTTACTCTTGATACACACTAGTACAGCGATTCCCAACCTTTTTTATACTGCGGACCAGCAAACTCATTCAAAAACTATTGGCAGACTGCCACAGAAACATTTGCATATTCATTGTGATAATTAACTTATTTGCATGATTATTATGGTAATTAGTTTTAAGCGGTGACGTGTTAGTTTACATTGCATCTGCAAACGCACAATACATGTCATTGTGTGGCTGGGAAGATCAAAAGCATACATTGTTAAACAGATGAGATGCTTTGCAGAATAGTTCTAGTTTTCACTAATTTTTGGAGAGAGGCAAAGGGGTACAGCATGCAGGGCAGGAGAAACGGGACTGTGACCAAGAGGAAGAAGGGAGGGAAGGAAAAGAAATGGGGCACAAAGCCAGGAGAGGCTAGGCTGAAATTGGTGGGGTGCTGACTCTGGATCAGAGGGCTTCTCCTGCCTTGGCCCCTTATTCCACAGCAGCCACATCTGCTAGAGGTCCCCAAGCCACTTCCTGGGGCTGAGCGCAGCCAGGCAGCTCTGCTCCGCCATGCAGTCTGGCTGCCCCAGGAACAGCTCCACCCTCTGGAGCAGCCACCAGTCATGTGGCCCCGCTGGCCAGGCCACATAGCTGCCACTGAACTGGAACCAGGGCAATGGTGAGGCTGCCCCAGTAGAGACAGCCGCACCGTGGCCTGGCTCCAGCTGCAGCTCACAGCTGAGGGTGTGGCCTGACAGAGTGCTGCAGCCCGGCAGGCAGAGGTTAACGGCCTACCACCAGTCCACGGATCAGTTGTTGGGAACCACTACACTAATAAACTGAGAATCTGACCTGGACAAATTGAGGCCAGTGGCAGTGTTAAAATTAAAATTCAGCATTTCTTGATTCCAAGTCTTGTGCTTACTCCACTAAGCCACACTGTATTTCAAGAAACTGCAGCAAAACATCAAACTATATAGTTTCGGATTGTAAATAATCCACAAACTAACTGTGTTAATATCTGCCGATCTCTAATTATTCATTACTATATTTATGCAAACTGAAATGCCATTTTAAAAAGTCATAGTGATAATTATAAGGTTTTCAATGTACTTTTTTTAATCTAATACCAGAAATAACAAACATTTGTCTTTTTGAACAGACAGAAAAGTATCCTGTCCAAGACACAAGGCTACCTAAACGTAAGCACAGCAAATTCCAGCTATTATAAATCTGGGATATTACGGTAGTTTTGTATTTGTATTTGTACCTGGTAAAAGTTTATGCAGTTAAATTGGTTTTAAAAGTTGGCTGTTAATATTGGCTCTGATGTTTGCCAATTGAGCTCAGCTTTGATCTAAAAGCTGATGATATCAACAGAAGATCTTGTTTCTCACCTTTTGAAGTAAGCTCTAATAGGCCAAAACCACAAAAGAAAAATAGGATTGAGAAGACAGATTAGAGGGAAATAAAAATAATTTAAAAGTGACTTTGAAAGGGTTAGCTGTGTGCTTGCAGGTAATCAGGAATTCATTTGGGAGCACAGAAATATCCACTGGTCACATGTCTTGATCAAATCCTGAGTGCTGCAACCATTCCATGATTAACTCTTTAGTCCTTCTACCATACCAGCTGCCTTGACTTCTTTTTTATTTTTTAATTTTTTTTTTTCTGCATCCCAGACCTTTCTGCAGGCTTCCTTCCAAGGAATGCCCTGAGAGTGTCTTGGGCTTTAGAACTCTTCCAAGCATATTGTTCTGAATCCCCTCATGTAAAGCCTGAAGAGGGATTCATGATCCAATTGGGAAGACCCACTGAAAAAGTTAGGATAAAGACTAATGAGCTGGGTAAACTAAAACGGGTTCCAAAGGAGGATTGAGTATTATTTAGGAGACTTAAAAGAGCTAGCAATAGAAATGGGGTGCCACTGAGGATACCAAGAGAAGAAGGGAAATAGATTAGAGGGGAGAAGGAAGGACACTTCGAACCAGTTTAGTTGCAGGCAGACTGCTCACCTCTTCAAAGTGATATTCCTTAAACTTTCTTAAATTTTTGTGAAAACAACAGAGTCCTGTGGCACCTCAAAGGCTAAGGTGACACAGGACTCCTTGTTGTTTTTGCTGAAACAGCCTAACGCAATTAACCCCTCTGAAGCTTAAATTTTTGTAGTTTCCTTATTGCTTTTCCATCTAAATTGTATTTTTCTTACAATGAACTAATGCCTTAAGAATATCTTCCTCTCCAAGGAAAATCAGATTGCTAAATAAAAATGTAACTTTTCCAAAGTTGTTTAAAATATGATGTTTTAATGCAGTGAATTCTAAGTAAAATGAAAGGGAAATGGAAATTGTTGCACTTTCTTTTGAAAGGAAATTTTAGTGCCTATTTCATCATCATCATGTAAAGATATAAAAAGCATTAATGGAGCTTAGTATTTCCTGTCTCAGAATGGGAATTGATGTGAAACACTTACTAATGTCCTGTTAACTATTGCAATCTCAAGTTTTTCTTATAATTTTCTGCTAAGTCTACCACTGTTGTGGGTTTGGAAACTGTATGACGTTAACCTTAGATTGTTCCTTAGATATTGGCCTGTTAGTCTGCTCAAGAGCATACATTTTCATCACTATTAAACATGATTTGAAATAAAAAGCAACATTAGAGCCCTCCTGGGGCTCTTAATTGAGGTAGCACACCCAAATTAGGGAAACCTGCCTTGGACTAATTTTGAGGCTTCTCTGTACTGTAGACATGCTATTTCGAAATAAGCTATTTCAGGGGGAAAAAAAATCCAAAATAGCTTATTTTGAAATAAGCGAGCTGTGTAAATGTACCCTAAGTGAATAAAATGTGTTACAAGAGTTTACTTCATACAGCGTAAGGGCCTGAGTCTTAAGTCAGTATCTAGGGAAAATTCCAGTTGGCTTTAATGAAAATTTTGTCTAAACAGAGTACAGGATCTGGCCCTCCTTTAAAAATCATGTGACATCTTAGGGCCAGATCCCTTAAAACATTGTGCACCCTCGACTCATATTAAAGTTAATAAATTTCAGAGGGGTAGACGAGTTAGCCTGTAAGAGGAAAAACTTAAACAACCAACAAATTGTCTAGTAGCACTTTAAAGACTAACAAAACATGTAGATGGTATCATGAGCTTTCTTGGGCGCAACCCTCTTGTTCAGTAAAGTTAATGGGAGTGGAGGGTGCTCAACATCTTGCAGGAGTAGGCCTTATATTTTTTTTCTCCAAGTTCACTTAGTTATGCCCTCTCCCAAATATTAGAGGCAACAGCCAAAAGAATAAATCAAGAAATTCTGGAGGTTGTGTTCTGTAATGTCAGCTGAATTCTTTGCCATTGAATCCTAACTTAATCAATAAGGAACCTGTGTCAGATACCACAGCCGCAGCCAGAGGAAAGCTATTGGATTTTAGGGATCAACGGTCTAATAAATAATGGAAAATTCTAAGGGAAATAAGGGGGAATTTTTTTTTGGTCTAAATGTAAGGCTGCACTCTTTACATCAGAAAGGGACACTGAGATAAGGAAGTCAGTATGTAGGGTTGCCAAGTGTCAGGTATTGACCCGGACAGTCTGGTATTTTCGCCTCTTGTCCGGTAAAAAATATTCAGAAAATACTGGACACTTAAAATGTCTGGTATTTTCTGATTTTTTTTTCCCTGACAGGAGGCAAAAATACCAAATACTATGACACACTCAACAACCAGGTCCAGCCCCTGGACCCCCCGTCCCCTGCTTACCTGGTTCCGCAGAGGCTTGTCTTGCGGTTGGAATAGAAAAACAAAATGGCCGGTGGGAAAAAAAGCGTCTTCTTAAAGGGCCATGCTGATTTTTATTTTTATTTGCTCAACAACTTTGGTCTCCCCCTTCTTTCTTTCTCAACAGAATTTTTTTCCTGGTGTTTTTTTGGGAGGGGAGGGAGTGTTCGGTATTTTTGGTTAAACTATCTGGCAACCCTATCAGTATGTATGTCCTGTTTCTCTAACTAGAGTATCCTGAGGGCATTCTGTATCAAACAATTAAGAATTCTGTGCACAATATTTTAAAACTCTGCAAAATTCTACACGTTTTATTTGTCAATAAATAAATGCAGAGGCTCCAGCATGGCAGTGGAGAACACAGGCCCTGACTGCATAAAGGTGGGAAATCACCCTGCAACAAACCCACCTCCCACCCTGATACAGATTCAGCAGTGAGGCTGCACCCAGCCCTGACATAAACAAGGCCTGGGTCTGCCCCAGAAACACCTTTGGACCTTGCCACACTGTGACAGGTACATCAGGTGTGGAGTAAGCAGGCTCAACCAAGCAGGATCCAAGTGTTGAGGGGCTCAGTGTGGGGGTATCCATATGTGCAGTGAGATGAATCTGTGCAGAACCTCTGAGTGCAGGTAGCTTAGTGAGGAGTCTAGGTGTGTGGGGATATGGATGCTCATTGGAGCAGGGTTCCAGGTGTAGGTGGTTGGGGGCTCCTCAGAGGAGTCTGGGTGTGTGTGGGGTCTCAATGTGGGGGTTGGTACTAGGGGAGTGCTCGATGTGGTGGGAGTCTGGGTGCAGCTAGTTGGGGATCAGTGATCTGGGGGTCTAGATGTAGCGGCTCAGGGTAGTGCAGAGGTGGGAGCTCATCAGTATGGGAGTTTGAATGCAAAGAGTTCATTGTGAGGTGGTCTAGGTGAAGGTGGATGCCAGATGCAGAGGCTGAGGTTCAGTGGGTGGAGGTTTGGATATAGAGGACGAAGGGGTTCTGGATGTACCAGATGAGGCTTGACAGGGATGTCTGAGTATAAGAAGTCCAGGTGTACAGGGGTTGGGTGAATGGGGGAACAGCTCCTGATACAGCGATCCTTCCATGTACAGCTGAGGGGTGATGGAGGCAAGAAGTAGAGAAGGATGCTGAGCTTCCTGCAGCTGGGGGACAGTATGACACAGCCCCAGCCACTCCTTGCAGGGGAATAGGATATCCTATCCTCTCCAGCCTAGAACTTGAAGCTTATTTTAGCTCAGGATAGGTGTCACTGGCTGGGCTGTCCCCAACCACATGGTGATTTACCTCTTCTACCACGTGCTCAAACCAATGTAGCCACACTGCTAGGGAATGGTGCATGACTGCTCTTGCACTTCCCTTTGCTTCTCTGTCAGAAAGCAAAGAAATCTTTGGGGGATGTGAATTCTGTGCATGCTCCCTCCCAGGAATAATAGAGAAGACAAGAACAGTTGGGGCAATGCACTGTTTCTTAAAGGATTCTTATTGCTAAAGTGAGCAAATAACTGATATGCACTTTGGTCCCTAAAAAGTCCTTCAATGTTATAAAAGTCTTAGAGGATTCTGATGTGTCTAGGATAACCTTCTTTGAGCCCCACATCAGCAGTTCATCCCTAGTCAGCAGAGCAATTAACACATGGATTTACACATTTACTCAAAGGTACACATATGCTGAAATGGACTAGGGCCTTACTAATCACAGAATGAAATTTAACCCTGTGCACAGGACCAGCAAAAGGTTTATGCATCACTTAAGTCCTATGTTGAGGGCCCAAGTGGCACATGAAAGGTTACCGGCCTTTGTGCCATCTCTCTGCATAAGGGTGAATTTCAACCTATGTCTCTATACTTACAAAGGTATGTAGACAACTTTTAAGCTGCTGCGAGTAAAATCTTAGGATGTGTATATGTTCTTCAGGAAGGGTCCTGAGCAGGATGAGCATAATCTGAACATGAGGAAAGGAGAAGGCATAATATCTAGAATTTTTTAGAAAGTCATTAAAACAAAGTGGAAAGAAGAATTGTGTTGACTGTCAGGTTATTTCACTTTTTCAGATACCTTTAATGCATTGGCTAGGTTAACACTATGTTGGTGCTGCTCCTGGTATATCTGCTGAAGGAAGAGTGTAACCCTGCCATTAGTAACAGGATATTGGAGATGCAGAGGAAACATTTTACTATGCCCTGATGCCTAACCTCTGATAGTGCTGTCTCTTTTCACAGTCCAGTCATTAAGAATTTAAGATTATTTTCCCTCTATTTTACGTTTCCCAATGACCCATTATCGCATGGTATCATATCTTTGTGTTAGACTTTTATGAAGCTTGTTGTATTTTTGTTTGAGAGTTTTGTAACTTAAGCTTATATTTGGATGAAAGACCAACCTTTCAGGATCTCTTTGCCGTAGATGAGGAGTACTTAACAGATAAAGTGACATTGGAGATAGCATCTATTAACATCAGGAGTCTTACATCAGATTCTGGCCTAATACAACAGGTAAGAACAGTGAAAAGAACATGCAAATGTTCCTTTTTCAGGGGAAACATGGGGAAACTTTGGTAGAATATTTTGGACAAATTTACCATCCCAGTAATTGCATTTGAGCATGCGTGTGTTTAAACTAGCTGTAGGCTTAGCAAAAACCATTTTTAAAAAATTTTTTAGTGGGCAATATTAATGATTTTAAGCATTTTTTAAAATGTTATGTATTTAAATGTTAACAGTTATGGGAAGTTACGAGTGTATGTCAGACAATTGGGTTGGTCAAACCATAATTATGTCATGACAGTAGATGTGAGATTCAAAAAGTTAAAACTTTATTACTATTAAAATCCAGATTGGCAACAGCACTTGTGAAAATACACAAAGTAAATATACTTAAATGAAACTGGAATAAATGCTCAAGCAGCATTTTTTTTACTTTGCCTATCCGTAAATCTTGATTTTTATTCAGTGAAAATATATTTGTCAGTTTGTGTCTCTATGGTGAAACTGACATTTACAAATAATAATCTAATCCTTGTAAACACAGCTGCTTGTAGTGGATTTAATGATACAGTAAGTGGCAGTAAGAACGGGGCATCTTGTTATAATGTATTATAAAGTACATAGTTTACTTGTATATGCATGCAGAGCCTTCAAGGGAAGTGCTCTGAGATAATTCTGGATGAATGACACTGGATGAATGATGCTATACAAAAGTCAGCTTTATTTTAACTACATTTGTCTAAAGGGGAAAACCCGTTCTGCTTTCATCTTCAGTCCTTCAAAAAAAAAGGAAGGACTTGCATCCGCCCAATGAGAGAAGGCAGCTACTTATGACTTCTTTCTCCATCAACGATTTCAGTTTGTCTCAGCCACAGAGTCACAGTGCCTTCCTTCGGATGATAGATGTTGCTTTCAAAGAATATAAATGTTGCAATAACGTATATTGACACCTCAGACTATTAGGTTATTTTCTCCTCATCTAATTAGCAGGTTAAAAGGAGCTAAGTAAACACAGCTTTGAAAGAAAGAAGGGCTAGAATTGAATTAGCAGAAATATTCAATTCCAGTCCTTATCTAGAACTCTTTTCTTCATATCAAAAGTTTTTAAAGAAGCTCCTCCAAATTCCATAGAGTCAGAGGAATAATCCCTTTTTGTTGCATGTAACAGACAGTAGGGATGCAAAGTTTAACTGTGTAAATGGTTAACTGATGACCTTGGGTGTATTGGTTGACATTCACAGTTACACACAGGCTCCCGCCCTACACTGCTGCCTCAGTATCAGAGTGAGGCTGCAGGCAGTAGCTGGCTGCCACCCTGCACTGCAGGTGCAGGCAACCGTGTAACTGCTGAGTTTTTCAGCTGTTATATATTTACCCAATTACCCGCTATTTAACATCCCTAACAGTGGACCAGCTGAGGATCTGACCCAGCCTCTAATAAAAACAAGGAGCATGGAAATCTAAGTCAGACAATCTGAATCGCTGCAAAGCTGCAGGTACTCTACAAAAAAAGTCCTAAGGACTTTTCACCCCATGATTATGGCACATTGGAGACTCTTAATTGCAATTCTGCAATAATATTTCATGACTATGTCCTAGGAAGTAACTTTGTGACCTCTATACATGCCCAACCAATCATTTTCAGATGCTGAGTACTTAATATACTAACATCAATAAAATATCATTCAGGAAAATTAGACAAGCCTGGATAGTGTAGGAGAGAGAGTGTGAACTATTCCAAATATATGAGGTGAAGTGTGTCCATCAACATGAATCATTCATCATGTCTGTAATCAAAAGAAACAGTTTTGGGGTCTTTTACACCAGAGTAACAGTAAGGCATTACTCCAGTTGTACTGGCATAAATGAGAGGTGAAATTAGCCCAAAGATTGTAGATGTTTTCATTTAACCAATTATCCATTGTTGTCATAAATTTCTTTGGGAGCAACCCCAGGGCTGATGGATTTATACAGGTTGCACCTCCCAAAACTGACACTCTCTCGTCTGGCAACATCTGTGGTCCAGTAGAACTATGGATGTTCTTAGACCACAGAGCCCTGAGAGCCTAGTGGCTGGAGGGCTGGAAGCAGCAGGATCAGCAAACTGTCAGGGGGCTTGAGCCTGCAGCAGCAGGGCTGGAGCCAGAGCCCATGGCAGCTCATGTCAGCAGGGCTGGGGCCTGAGCCTGTGGCAGCCTGCAACAGCAGAGCTGGCAGCCTTGCGAGCAGCCTGGCTGGGGCCAAGTGCCTGTGGCAATGTGGCCAGCAGCCCCAGCATTATGAGCGCCTGAGGCAAGGGACTGGCTGGGGTGAAAGGGAAGCTGGTGGCGCTGACTGGTGATGGAATGCGGGGAAAGGTGGGGGTGAGGGGGAGCAGGATCCTCCCTTGATCTGGAATATTCCCTCATTCAGGTCCACTCAGGTCCTGAAGGTGCTGGACCAGGGAGGTCCAACCTGCAGTTACACACAAGGTGCTGTTCTTTTCTGTTCTTGTTCACAAATACTTTAACATAAACCTGTCACTACTGAGTGTGAAAATGATACGTCAGTGCAAGGAGAACTGTTTAAAATACTATCCCTATCTCATCAGAAGTCAAAATGTAACTGTTGCATAAAAAGTATGCAAATTGTCAGGAATTGCTGATGATCGGTTCCCTCGTCTACCCAACAGGTTTTTTTCTGTTCCATTACATAAGTATATTTCTAAACAGATTCTTCACTTTGTAAATTAGACCCATAAAGTTATTGTGTGTTATTTGAATACATGCTTTTAATTCAAGGTTACTTTTTGTTTGTAGCAAGAAGAGAGTGATAGTCAAAACAACACTGGAGAATCACTTTCAGGTAATGTATAGGCTTTACCATACATGTATGTTATTTTTATTAATTTTTTTCAGAAAAATTCTTTGCGAGGATGATGCTTGGAATTACCTAGAAAGGACTTGCAACTCCAGAGTGTATGAGGCTTCACTCTTTAGCTTTTAATATTCTGTGGCAGGGTACAGAGCCATAAGTTTATCTGATCTATAGATAGGTATAAACTATTCTTGTTGATTTCTTTTTTATGCCACTCCGTTCACCGAGCAGACACAGCAGAATGAAATGAAATTAAGATAAGAGCCAATAATGTTCTCTCAGCACAGCGAGCACTTCAGTTAGGTGAAATGGAGTTAGCATTGCTCATAAAGTGAGATTTTGGCCCACTGACTTCATTATAGCACAACAGCAGTATAAATTATATACCTTTATATTTAGCTATTTTAAAAACTGCAAGGGCTTACGGAATGCCTCAGAGCAGAAATGTCTCCCTCTACTGAGACCTCAGATGGAGTATTGTGACCAAGTCTGGGCACCACACTTTAGGAAGGATATAAATGAATTAGAGAGAGTCCAGAAGATGGCAAAATTGATACAAGATTTAGAAAAACTGACCTATGAGGAAAAGGGGGCAGGTTTAGCCTTGTGCAAAGAAGCCCAACAGGGCCTGATTGCAATCCTCAAATATGGTAAGGGCTGTTCTAAGGAGGATAATGATAAATTATTCTCCACATCCACAAAGGCCAGAAATGAAGTAGTGGGCTTAATCTGTAGCAAGGGAGATTTTGGTCAGAGGGGTAGCTGTGTTAGTCCATAACTAAAAAAACAACAAAGGTCCTGTAGCACCTTTTAGACTGCCCAAAAAATACTGTACTAAATATACTATCTATATATTTTGGTTAGTCTCTTAGGGTATGTCTACATAGCAAAGTTATTTAATAATAACAGCCGTTATTTCAAAATAACTTTCCTAGCATCTACACAAGCCAACTGCTATTTCGAAATTAATTCTAAATAGTGGAGGGCTTATTTCGAAATTGGTAAACCTCATTCCGCGAGAAATAGCGCCAATTTTGAAATTGCTATTTCGAAATAAGCGCAGTGTAGACACTTATTTCGAAATAGGGGGCCTCCAGCCCTTCCCAAGGTGCCCTGCTGGAAGCCCTGGCCACAAGGTAACTTCTGACCTGAGGCCCTGCCGGAATCAGTTCTGGCTGGTCTTAAATGCGATTCAGCGTTCAATCAGTGTGGACGTGCTATTTTGAAATAGCAAAAAGCTATTTTGAAATGCATTTTCTGTGTAGACGCATTATTTCAAAATAAGATATTTCAAAATAACTATTTTGAAATTAGATATTTTGAAATAATACTGTAGTGTAGACATACCTTCAGGTGCTACAGAACCATTTTTTGTAAGTTTTATTAGGAAAATGTAATTATAAGGGTAGTTAATTTCTGGGATAAGCTTCCAAAAGAGAGATTATGGCATGCCTGTCATTGGAGGGTCTCAAGAAAAGGTTGGACAGACACCTATCAGAGATGGTCTAGGTTCACATAGTCCTGCCTCAGCACAGGGGGCTGCACTTGATGATCTCTCCAGGTCCCTTCTAGCCCTACAGTTCTGTGGTGCAAGTCACAAGAGCTTGTGTGTTCCCTTCCATGGAAATTATGAATTATCATAAAATTGAGTTGTTGCACATTATAACCCCCTGCAAATTGTAAGAAGTATTATTCAGCCTGCTAAAAAGAAGACTGGAAAAAAGCTAATTAAGTGACATCACAAAAACAGCAAGAGCATATTCTTTCTTTGCAGAACTGGAAAGATAAAATGCATACAAAAGATAAGTTCAGCTTGATCATTTTCATTAGCACTAAGATTCAAATTCAAGTTATTTCAAAAACTTTCAAAATCCATTTGTGAGATGGCATAAGTCTCTGAAAATAGAAAAGAATTAACAAGTGTGATAGCTATGAGAGTAGGTCTTTCTGAATATGTGATTTGCTTTTTTGCGGTTATAAGCTCTTCCCTACTCTTATTCTAATTGTAACGTAACCAGTCCTTGAAATTGCGCACTCACTGTTTCCATCAGTCATCTGATCAATACGTCCTCCAGCAGCATCCCTTTTTCCAGTCTTAATTTCAATATCGTTGGTTTTATATTCCTCTTTCAAACTAGTATGGTAAACTGAATTTTTAAAAGGTCTAGCAGTTATAAGCTGTGCACATTATGCACCTTTCTGTGGTAAGGTCAGTTAGACCATTGTGGGCTGCTCTCTCTCTTTATTCAGTATATGGCCAGTTTAAAGGTTTACCCATTTGCCACCAAAATTCCAACTCATCTAGACTACAGTCTTCTTTTGAAAGAGGAATGTAAATGAGCCCGATCGAAAGTGCAAATGAAGCACGGATTTAAATATCCTGTGCTTCATTTGCGTATTCATGTCTGATTGCTGTTTCAAAAAAGGGTATTTCAAAAGTGAAACTGCAGTCTAGACGTGGTTCTTTCGAAAAAAACCTTTTTCGAAAGAACCGGTTCCCCTCGTTTTTTCAGGAGTACGGGTTCTTCTGAAAGTTATTTTTTTTTTTTTCTGAAAGAACCGCGTCTAGACTGCGGTTTCACTTTTGAAATACTCTTTTTCGAAACAGCAATCAGACATGAATACGCAAATGAAGCACGGGATATTTAAATCCGCGCTTCATTTGCACTTTCAATTTGCCTAATTTACATTCCTCTTTCGAAAGGAAGACATTCCTTACATTCCTCATTGCTTCATTTATTTCTATTTGAAATAATCTCCCTTCATAGAATACAACAGAAAGAGGCACATTAATATCAATGGAAATATTAGGCATTTGATTTGTGTGTGTCCATTAGCACAATCTTTACTGAAATATGACTGTCAAATATTTTCTTAAGTCTGCACTATTATAAAGATGGCACCTTAAGTGCAGTAAACTAGGCTGTGACATCTACCAACATAATCCTACTATTTATCTTGTTGAGATGTTAAGAGAGTTTCTTTCTGTTTAGTACTCATGGCTGTGAAAGTATCAGTTATGATGGTTTTCATGAAGTAAAGGGGATAATTCTTCAGGCCAGGGAGTAGCCCACATTCCACAGTGAAAAGTGGAGTCAATCTGACAACCTTGTTATAAATGAGTGTATATTTTAAAAGTTACTGTGTTTTGATTTTATCTTCAGTGTACAACAAAGAAAAACATCAACAAAAATTAAAAAGTAATTTAATTCAGTAGGAGAAGATATTTTAAATCCCCATTATTATTTTAGAAGTAGTTTTGAACAACATGATATTCCTCATCAGTGCATGAAGGTTTGTGTCAGAAAAAGAAGCCATGGAAAATAGAATATATTCTAAACTTTCAATGTAATATTTATAATTGTAGATATGAGGAGGTCCTGCAAAGAAAATGGCACCTGCTCCTTATGCTTGTTACGAGCTCCAACCATCGGTGACTTACTCAATGATGAGGACTTGTTGTACACAATGAGGCTAAAGTTGGATCCATGCCACCCTACAGTAAAAAACTGGAGAAATTTTGCAAGCAAGTGGGGAATGACCTATGATGAATTGTGTTTCCTGGAACAGAAACAACAAAGCCCTACACTGGAATTTTTGTTGCGGAACAGTGACAGGACTGTGGAACAATTGATTGAGCTATGCAAATTATATCAAAGAATTGATGTTGTAAAAGTGCTGCTGAAGTGGGTGGAGGAAGAATGGCCAAAGAGAGTGAATGGAACTCACTTCTAGATCACAGAAAAATTGTTAGCTTGAAAAATTTACTTGTCTAATTACCACTAGCGAAAGGGAAGCTTTCTCTGTCAGTGGCAGGGCACAAACCATCAGTTTACGCAGAATATAAGCTTTTATTATATATGCATTTCAAGCCCTTTTGGTTGCAAAGATAACCTTCCAAATGTGAATGGAATATTACTAATACTGCGTTGTCTTCCTGAGTCATCAAACATCTTGAATCTTTGTCAATGTTCATATATTTCCCAAGCAGGAGCAGAGTGAAAAATAACATAGCATTGAGCAGTATGGCCCTTGCAATTTAGAACCTTGGAAGGAATGAAACTGACAACCATTTCAGTTGCCCACTGGTGTTGTTTTGTAAAGTTTTGATTAGCAGCTGAGACCCTTGAACTGTTGTCCCTACCTCACTGGTGACCATGTTCCTGTCTTTTATGTCAGCTTCTACCTAATAGGTGTTTGGTAATATTTCAGGTCTAGCAGAAGGAATAAAAGGACTGTTAGAAATGTTTAAATATATTTTGTATAGGAACACCTCATGTATTTCCAAGATCAGTTTGCTTTTGCATTATTAGATTAATTTAATGTCTGAATACCCCCATTTTGCAAAAAAATAATTTGGATACTTATTTATAAAAAAGACATATTACAATATAGTACTATACTACATTAAAATTACATATTGATTATGGAAAATCACATGTAATTCAGAGAGAATTTCCAAGGCGCACATGAGTGAGGACAAAAAAACAATTAAGAAAATATCTTACATTAAAAATTAGTTCCAAGAATTCTGAAGGAAACATTTAGTGGGAGGATTATTTATTTTTTCCTCAAATGCTTCTTGTTCTGGAGTGGGAAACAGCTCTAGCGTCACCCTCAGCATCCTCAGTACCCACAATGACTTTCCCGATCAAAGATTGTGGTCTTCTCTAAGAGATCACAAAACAGACCTGTGGGCTGAGCCATTTTCCGCTCAGACTATTTCCTGCCTGTAAAACAGAACAAGGCTTATGTACCACTTAAGCCACCATTATAGCTTAAAGGAGTCAATATGGATAACTACTGGAGAGTTTAAGAGGATTTAAGACTTATCAGTCACCCCTAGGGATTTGATCTTGTTGCTCCTTTGAATTTAAATGGTTAAATTTAAAACATTTTAAAAGGGATAAGGAATAAGTGATATTGCTCTTTTCCCTATAATTTTTTAAAGTTATTTTAAAAAATCTGTTACAACAGAGCACTTATTGCTATAGTGTCACAATAAGAATTATGAGAATGCTATTAACCATTTAGTAACACTATTCCAGTAGTTTTAGACATTCTTTTATGTTAACTAAAGCATCTTGAGTTTGTACCTGAACATATATAGCAAAATAACAGTGGACAATGTACCAAAACATAGGCTAAATCTAGGATGGGGTTATGGCTCATGTACCATTTAGTTTCATAAATTAGGACTCATCACTCAATTTTAGAAGCAAAGAGGTATATAGCAAAAGTGGGATTGTGCATTGAAATCTCTACTTCAAGACAACACAAGGCCTAATACATATTATACTGTGTATATTTTATATCAGTGGGCGTGGTTAGAAAGTAGTTGGAGGTAAAAGCTGTCCATTTCAAACAGGGGCCAGATCTACAGGCATCATAAATCAGTGTTGTTGCATTGACTTCAGTAAAGATGAGAATAAAGTAACCTGATTTCAGATGCTGGGTAGTAAGGGTCAAATTTTCCATCACAATCGTTTTTTGGAAGAGAAATTGGATTGACTAATTTTCATGAAATTTAATCTGATTTCTGCAGGAAAACACTGGGGTTTGTTTTTTTAATCGAAAAAACTGAGTGATTAAAAAGTGAGACGCTTTTAGCAGAAAACTAAAATATTTTGAATCTGAAATGTTGCTGTGTTACCTCATGGGAGCTATTCTCCTCTGTGGGCTGAGGTCCTCAGCCAGGCTTAATCTCCCATGGCATTCTGTACCCATGGCACTGTCATATTCTCACCTAAAGGGAATATGTTTTCTCATGGGACATTGTAGTCCAACCTGGAAGCCTGACTTCTTGAGAATGGGTGCATGATGTACTGCATTGGCATTTCCAAATCAAAATATTTCAGTTGTCAGCAGACATGCTAGTTCTTCCATAAATATTTTTTTTTAGAAAAACAAATCTCATTTAATCATAATTTTCCATGGAGGGGACACGCACTTCATCTCCCAACCAGCTGTAGTTCTGAGCCCTTGCAGTTCTCACTGAAGTCAGTGTAAGCTGTATGTGTTCAGCACCTCTGAAGAGAAGGTCACTTTTATTTATGAGCCCAAGCATGAATTTAGCTTAACATTAGGCTCGTTGGTTTGAAAAGGTTATTCTTAAACTTTTACACCTGTAGTTGCTCATTATAACTGTAGTTGACATAATAGGATTTATTTAATGTTTGTATCCTTGATATGGCACGACCTAGGGATGTTAAATTTAGATTAATAGGCTAATCGAATAGTCGATGCAAATTGCATCAACTATTCAATTAGTCTAGAAGGGAGCCTCACCTTTGAAGTGTAGCAACAGCCCCAAGGCTGTTGCTACACTTCAAAGGCAAAAGTGATCTGGGGAGCACTGGGCCAGTGGGAGACGAATTGAGTCCCCTGTTGGCCTCTTGCTCTTTGCTGCGTTTCAAAGTGGCAGCACTGCATGGAGCTGGGGTCCAGCTGGGCACTCCCCTGCTGACCTCGGTTCTACATGGCGTTGCTGCTTTGAAACATCGCATGGGGCTCCCTGCACCATTTCAAAGTGGCAGTGCCGCATGGAGCCGGAGTCAGCTGGAGTCCCCAGCTGGCTCCCCAGCTCCCTGCAATGTTTCAAAGCAGCATTGCTATGGGTCATCAGGCGAGTCCCCAGCTAACCCTGGTTCTATGTGGCGCTGCCTCTTTGAAATGCTGCGGGGAGCCCCACATGGCATTTCTAAGTGGCAGTGCCGCATGGAGCCCAGGGTCCACTCACCGCTGCCGCTCTGAAGCCTCCCTTTGCTCCCCCTCTCCCCTTGCTGCCTCGTTCTGATAGAGGCAGCAAGGGTGGAGGGAGCGATTAGTCAACTATACCTTCATATCCCTAGCATGAACTGGGTTAGACACTTCAAATACTTTCTTACTTGAATATCCAGTCTACAAGACATTGACCTGATCAGTCTTTGAATAAGTTTAATATCTCTGTTATAATATATACTATGTTAGTAAAAAAACCAAACAAACTTTAGATGTTTGATTTTATTGTTTGTTCTCATTTCTATGGTAAGTAAAATTAATTTTAAATAATACAGATGCATAGATAGTTGGTGTTGATGTATTCAAAGTCAGCAATTATTGTGTACCGCCAAAATACCAGCAAGTGGATTTGTACTGAAAAAAAATCAGAAATTTGGAATCAAGATTCTTTATGCGGGCAACAAATATTGCCTTACTCTTATTAGCATGTATCATCATGCAAACATTATGCATCCCTTTCCTTCTTCTCAAGAAAGTTGAGATAAGGAGATAAACACACATGGACTGTTTAATGCTGCTGCATCTTTTTTAGATTGGGACTAGGGAGGTGTAAAACTTCCATAGGTTGGGCTTATATGAGAAGTTGTTTTGAGAGCCTGGGCTCTTCAATGGTTTGCACATTGTACCTAGACCTGAAATTTCATTACCTTCTTCTTATCCTCCCCCACAAGGTCAGAGCCTGCCAACTTAACTTTTGCCAGGAGAGCTACTGGCTACCTTCCCTATCACCCTGGTGGCTTCAGGACAGCCCTTTTCCAATAGGTCTTCAAGGACAGCAAATTAGTTTATTCCTCTTTAACCTGTGGCATTTTATGATAGATAGCCTGACAGCAGTAGCAATGAAGCAGAAAAGTCACCTACATAAAATGTAACTTCAGTCTGTTTTTTGAAATCTCTCTAGATCAGTGTTTCTTAAACTATGTTCCGTGGAACACTGGTGTTCTGTGAACAACTCGAGGTGTGCCGCGACCTCTTCTTTGTTTTTGTCTATTTTTGTCTGACAACAATTTTTTTTTTGAAGAAAATTTTCGTAAGTGTTCCGCATAAAAAAATATTATTGTTTGGTGTTCTGTGGTCTCAAAGTTTAAGAAACATTGCTCTAGATAGCATCTATGGGACAGTCCCTTCCCCTCAGATATATATAGAGGCTTTTATAGTGAAACAAACAAATAAAAACCACTTGGAACTCTGAGAACGGTTTTGCACAGCCCCATTTAGCCTGTCCCCTTTCCAATTTTGAGCCAACCTATATGCAAGTGATGCATCATGTATCTTGAGACTATTTGATTCACAGGAGTTTTGACTTGGCTAAACTTGCTGGCCTGTGACCAAATGTATTTGGCAATTTCAGTAATTGCTCTTGACTGATGATCTCTGTATAAAGAAAGTGTTTGTCCTTTAACAAGCATGAGGACATGTTACAGACCACTGACACCTGTAATTCAGCATGGATTTTCCTTCCTCAAACCACCATTCTTTAAAGAAGAGTAAGCATCATTCTGTTCAATACTGTTTTCAAGTTTCAGGCATTGGGTCAATCCAGTATAGAATTCTTCCACTGTCTATTTATGTTGAGTGACCATATTAAGAGCCTGCTCTCACCTAGGCCACAAAATGCACCCATTCTGGAGAGGGATATGGTAGCTGTCCCCCAGAAGCTGCCAGTGCTCTATGCTTGACTCTTTGCTCTATCCAAACAATGGCAGGGGGTGGAGAGAAACTTGGGCATCTCAAGACCTGGCACAAATCTGTGGTACATCTGCTAGCGAATTTATCCTCAGCTATTTCTGTGTCTGTTTGACCTGGTGCATTTTGTATAAGTCCCAAGAATGTGTGTGTGCTCTTTACACAAGTAAATGTTGCCATAGATATTTCCACAGGTTTGTCTGAACTTTCAAGTATGCACTTTGAGTTGATCAGTGATGGGGAATGGGCCCTTGAAATTTTGCAGTGAAACAGAAATCAGTCATAATGTGTAAAGAAACAGTTTCACTCTGCCCTACTTCTGCATGGCTATGTTCATTATAAAAAAAGCGGAGATGGTTTTTAGAGGTACAAATCACCCCTGGTATTTTGGGCTATGTCTAGACTACACAGATATGTTGGAAAAAGATACACAAATTGCAGTTTGCATATCTTTTTCCACTTTTCTTTTGGAAGAAGCATTTTTGAAATTTGGCCTATCTATATGGGGCCAAAATTCAGAAAAACCTCCTCTTTCGGCACATCCCTTCTTCCTCATACAATGAGGATTACAGAGATGGCGAAAGAATGCGTCCACTTTTTTGGAAACTGTTCTGAAAAACTGGACATGTTCCTTTGACAAGGCTCTGCAGTGTAGACATAGTCATGTTTTGTGTATCTTCTGGCATAAATTACAGGAGTCATCATTCAAAAATCAACATCACACATAAGCATCTGAAATTCAATGTTTTTTTTTTAAAAAGAAAATAGGGTAATTAAGATAACTAACTGAAGTATGGTATGCAGTGATATAGGCATGCTGGTCCCAAGATATTAAGGTGACAAAAAGTAAGTGAACTTTTGAGCTGACACAGAGCTGAATAAATGAAGAGTTCTGTGTCAGATAAAAAGCTTATCTTTCTCACCAACAGAAGTGTATCTAATAAGAGAGATTATCACATCTAGCTTGTCTCACCAAAATAAATAATGACTTTTTAATGACAACCACTGTGCCTCTTGATATAGCTCGGAGTGCCCATAATGTATTGTTCCTTGTTAATAAATGCAAGATGATCCTTCATACCTTAGCTCTGTCAATAGATCAAGGAGATCCATAATAGGACTGCAAGTCCAGTCTGCAGTTTCATGCATGCAGATGGCTAAGGAACATATTTCATCAAATTAAAAATGGGTTACTCTAGCTGCCTGTGTTGAATCACTTGATCATCAATCATGATACCTGTTGATCCTGGCTAAATCATTTTAGTTTGGTAAAAGTAACCAGAGATTTCATGGACTATGTTTTTCCAATTGTATTTCATTTAAAAAACTTTTGCAAGCTGCCTCGAATATTTTAAATACAGAGGCGGGGTAAAAATATTTAAATAAGTAAAATAAAATAAATAAATTTACAGCTGCTTTTGTATTTTAGGTTTCTAATATGAGTCTCATGTTTTTGTGGAGTAAAGCATTCATGGTAATCAACTCGATAATTGAGTCTGAGAGAAATTCCTAAAAACTGTTCACTTTGGATGAAACCCAACATGTTTGAGCTCATAAAGAGAAATTTGTTTTGTTTTCTATTTAGTAGATTAAATCTGTTCAACTGTTGGAGAGACACTTTTGAGATTTGGTTGCACCTATTGTGTTACTGTCCTATGTTCCAATGCCTTCCAACTAGTCATGGGAGGATTCTGCATTTGGAGCCATAGTAAAATTGCAGAATTCCCCAAGATCTGCTTCCAGTGAAATAATTGCCATCATACATCATTTTAATGTACCCTTTAATGAAAAGAAAGATTCTGTAAATCTCCATTGCAATGGAGGTCAATTAAGTCAAATATAGATTAGAGTTACTCTGTGATGCTTTCCCCAATAGTGTTGTACTGCCATCATACATCATTTTAATGTACCCTTTAATGAAAAGAAAGATTCTGTAAATCTCCATTGCAATGAAGGTCAATTAAGTCAAATATAGATTAGAGTTACTCTGTGATGCTTTCCCCAATAGTGTTGTACTATCACCATCTCTCAGCCTCCCTCCCCCCCAAAAAAAGTTGTACAGTGAGTCACAAGAACCAGCCACTGTTTAGCCAAAAGACTTGAGAAAATGGAAGACTCAAGCAGGCAAGCTATTAAAAATATGTTAAGTCATTATAAATAGTGTGAGAAATAGGGTACAATGCTGACTATCTTAGAAAAAAAATCTAAACCTGTGTCTAGACTACATCCCTCTTTCAACAGAGAGATGTAAATTAGACACTTTGAAATTGCAAATGAAGCAGGGATTTAAATATCCCATGCTTCATTTGCATAATTGAGTCCTGGCGCTCTTTCAAAAAAGCGCCATTTCGAAAAGTAAAACTGCAGTCTAGACACAGTTCTTTTGAAAAGGGCAGGCTTTCTTGAAAGATCCTGTACTCCTCAAAAAATGAGGTTTATACGATCTTTCGAAAAAGTCTGCTGTTTTTGAAAGAACCATGTCTAGACTGAAGTTTCCCTTTCGAAATTGCACTTTTTTGAAAGAGCACCATGATGCAATTATGCAAATGAAGCATGGGATATTTAAATCCCCGCTTCATTTGCAATTTCGAAGTGTCTAATATATATCTGTCGAAATAGGGATGTAGTCTAGATACAGCTTAAGAGTGATCCAAGGGAACAACGGTAGGATAATTTGATAATTAGCCTCTGATGTGGGAGACTGGGGTTCGGTTACCTGCTCAGCCACCGATTTCCTATGTGACTATGGAGAAGTCACTTAGTGCCAGAGTTTTCAAAGGTATTCAGGCACCTAAAGATGCAGATAAATGCCTACTGGGATTTTTTTTTAAAACCACTAGTCTAAGTGCTTTTGTAAGTCCCACTAGATATCTACCTGCATCTTATGACATCTATACACCATTGAAAATCTGGTTCTTAGGGTATGTCTACATTACCAAGTTTTGGCAACAAAACTTATGTCGACACCCAAAAGTCAGCAAAACAAAAATCTCCAGAGAGTGTTCACACTTGCTCCCTTTCTCAATGGATCGTGTACACACTAGGGGCACCA